ATTTAAATGCCATATTATTCGAGGGGCCAAACCATTAACAAAAAGCCAAGCCACGTGAAAATCGGTTGAGTTTTGACCGAGTTATGAGGTTGGGAAATTTTGACACATGTCCGTATGAGAAGAGATTTAGGGGTACAATTTTTACATGAATTTCGATGAAAAATTACGTTGCCAGATTTAAATGCCAAATTGTTTTTAGTGCCAAACGAGGATTAAAAACCCAAACCACGTGAAAATCGGTTGAGTTTTGACCGAGTTATGAACAAAAAGCCAAGCCACGTGAAAATCGGTTGAGTTTTGACCGAGTTATGACGTTGGGAAATTTTGACACATGTCATATGGGATTTTTAAGGGTACAATTTTTACATGAATTTCGATGAAAAATTACGTTGCCAGATTTAAATGCCATATTATTCGAGGGGCCAAACCATTAACAAAAAGCCAAGCTACGTGAAAATCGGTTGAGTTTTGACCGAGTTATGAGGTTGGGAAATTTTGACACATGTCCGTATCAGAAGAGATTTAGGGGTACAATTTTTACATGAATTTCGATGAAAAATTACGTTGCCAGATTTAAATGCCATATTATTCGAGGGGCCAAACCATTAACAAAAAGCCAAGCCACGTGAAAATCGGTTGAGTTTTGACCGAGTTATGACGTTGGGAAATTTTGACACATGTCATATGAGATTTTTAAGGGTACAATTTTTACATGAATTTCGATGAAAAATTACGTTGCCAGATTTAAATGCCATATTATTCGAGGGGCCAAACCATTAACAAAAAGCCAAGCCACGTGAAAATCGGTTGAGTTTTGACCGAGTTATGACGTTGGGAAATTTTGACACATGTCATATGAGATTTTTAAGGGTACAATTTTTACATGAATTTCGATGAAAAATAACGTTGCCAGATTTAAATGCCAAATTGTTTTTAGTGCCAAACGATGGGTAAAAAATCAAACCACGTGAAAATCGGTTGAGTTTTGACCGAGTTATGATGTTGGGAAATTTTAACACATGTCATGTGAGATTTTTAAGGGTACAATTTTGACATGAATTTCGATGAAAAATTACGTTGCCAGATTTAAATGCCATATTATTCGAGGGGCCAAACCATTAACAAAAAGCCAAGCCACGTGAAAATCGGTTGAGTTTTGACCGAGTTATGAGGTTGGGAAATTTTGACACATGTCCGTATGAGAAGAGATTTAGGGGTACAATTTTTACATGAATTTCGATGAAAAATTACGTTGCCAGATTTAAATGCCATATTATTCGAGGGGCCAAACCATTAACAAAAAGCCAAGCCACGTGAAAATCGGTTGAGTTTTGACCGAGTTATGACGTTGGGAAATTTTGACACATGTCCGTATGAGAAGAGATTTAGGGGTACAATTTTTACATGAATTTCGATGAAAAATTACGTTGCCAGATTTAAATGCCAAATTGTTTTTAGTGCCAAACGATGGGTAAAAAATCAAACCACGTGAAAATCGGTTGAGTTTTGACCGAGTTATGAACAAAAAGCCAAGCCACGTGAAAATCGGTTGAGTTTTGACCGAGTTATGACGTTGGGAAATTTTGACACATGTCATATGCGATTTTTAAGGGTACAATTTTTACATGAATTTCGATGAAAAATTACGTTGCCAGATTTAAATGCCGTATTATTCGAGGGGCCAAACCATTAACAAAAAGCCAAGCCACGTGAAAATCGGTTGAGTTTTGACCGAGTTATGACGTTGGGAAATTTTGACACATGTCATATGAGATTTTTAAGGGTACAATTTTTACATGAATTTCGATGAAAAATTACGTTGCCAGATTTAAATGCCATATTATTCGAGGGGCCAAACCATTAACAAAAAGCCAAGCCACGTGAAAATCGGTTGAGTTTTGACCGAGTTATGACGTTGGGAAATTTTGACACATGTCATATGAGATTTTTAAGGGTACAATTTTTACATGAATTTCGATGAAAAATTACGTTGCCAGATTTAAATGCCATATTATTCGAGGGGCCAAACCATTAACAAAAAGCCAAGCCACGTGAAAATCGGTTGAGTTTTGACCGAGTTATGACGTTGGGAAATTTTGACACATGTCATATGAGATTTTTAAGGGTACAATTTTTACATGAATTTCGATGAAAAATAACGTTGCCAGATTTAAATGCCAAATTGTTTTTAGTGCCAAACGATGGGTAAAAAATCATACCACGTGAAAATCGGTTGAGTTTTGACCGAGTTATGATGTTGGGAAATTTTAACACATGTCATGTGAGATTTTTAAGGGTACAATTTTGACATGAATTTCGATGAAAAATTACGTTGCCAGATTTAAATGCCATATTATTCGAGGGGCCAAACCATTAACAAAAAGCCAAGCCACGTGAAAATCGGTTGAGTTTTGACCGAGTTATGAGGTTGGGAAATTTTGACACATGTCCGTATGAGAAGAGATTTAGGGGTACAATTTTTACATGAATTTCGATGAAAAATTACGTTGCCAGATTTAAATGCCAAATTGTTTTTAGTGCCAAACGATGGGTAAAAAATCAAACCGCGTGAAAATCGGTTGAGTTTTGACCGAGTTATGAGGTTGGGAAATTTTAACACATGTCATGTGAGATTTTTAAGGGTACAATTTTTACATGAATTTCGATGAAAAATTACGTTGCCAGATTTAAATGCCATATTATTCGAGGGGCCAAACCATTAACAAAAAGCCAAGCCACGTAAAAATCGGTTGAGTTTTGACCGAGTTATGACGTTGGGAAATTTTGACACATGTCATATGAGATTTTTAAGGGTACAATTTTTACATGAATTTCGATGAAAAATTACGTTGCCAGATTTAAATGCCATATTTTTCGAGGGGCCAAACCATTAACAAAAAGCCAAGCCACGTGAAAATCGGTTGAGTTTTGACCGAGTTATGAGGTTGGGAAATTTTGACACATGTCCGTATGAGAAGAGATTTAGGGGTACAATTTTTACATGAATTTCGATGAAAAATTACGTTGCCAGGTTTAAATGCCAAATTGTTTTTAGCGCCAAACGATGGGTAAAAAATCAAACCGCGTGAAAATCGGTTGAATTTTGACCGAGTTATGAGGTTGGGAAATTTTGACACATGTCATATGAGATTTTTAAGGGTACAATTTTTACATGAATTTCGATGAAAAATTACGTTGCCAGATTTAAATGCCATATTATTCGAGGGGCCAAACCATTAACAAAAAGCCAAGCCACGTGAAAATCGGTTGAGTTTTGAGCAAGTTATGAGGTGGGAAATTTTGACACATGTCCGTATGAGAAGAGATTTAGGGGTACAATTTTTACATGAATTTCGATGAAAAATTACGTTGCCAGATTTAAATTCCAAATTGTTTTTAATGCCAAACGATGCGTAAAAAACCAAACCACGTGAAAATCGGTTGAGTTTTGACCGAGTTATGAGGTTGGGAAATTTTGACACATGTCATATGAGATTTTTAAGGGTACAATTTTTACATGAATTTCGATGAAAAATTACGTTGCCAGATTTAAATGCCATATTATTCGAGGGGCCAAACCATTAACAAAAAGCCAACCCACGTGAAAATCGGTTGAGTTTTGACCGAGTTATGAGGTTGGGAAATTTTGACACATGTCATATGAGATTTTTAAGGGTACAATTTTTACATGAATTTCGATGAAAAATTACGTTGCCAGATTTAAATGCCATATTATTCGAGGGGCCAAACCATTAACAAAAAGCCAACCCACGTGAAAATCGGTTGAGTTTTGACCGAGTTATGAGGTTGGGAAATTTTGACACATGTCATATGAGATTTTTAAGGGTACAATTTTTACATGAATTTCGATGAAAAATTACGTTGCCAGATTTAAATGCCATATTATTCGAGGGGCCAAACCATTAACAAAAAGCCAACCCACGTGAAAATCGGTTGAGTTTTGACCGAGTTATGAGGTTGGGAAATTTTGACACATGTCCGTATGAGAAGAAGAGATTGAAGGGTACAATTTTGACATGAAATTCGATGGAAAATTACGTTGCCAGATTTAAATGCCATATTATTCGAGGGGCCAAACCATTAACAAAAAGCCAACCCACGTGAAAATCGGTTGAGTTTTGACCGAGTTATGAGGTTGGGAAATTTTGACACATGTCATATGAGATTTTTAAGGGTACAATTTTTACATGAATTTCGATGAAAAATTACGTTGCCAGATTTAAATGCCATATTATTCGAGGTGCCAAACCATTAACAAAAAGCCAAGCCACGTGAAAATCGGTTGAGTTTTGACCGAGTTATGAGGTTGGGAAATTTTGACACATGTCATATGAGATTTTTAAGGGTACAATTTTGACATGAAATTCGATGGAAAATTACGTTGCCAGATTTAAATGCCATATTATTCGAGGTGCCAAACCATTAACAAAAAGCCAAGCCACGTGAAAATCGGTTGAGTTTTGAGCAAGTTATGAGGTGGGAAATTTTGACACATGTCCGTATGAGAAGAGATTTAGGGGTACAATTTTTACATGAACTTCGATGAAAAATTACGTTACCAGATTTAAATTCCAAATTGTTTTTAATGCCAAACGATGGGTTAAAAAGCAAACCACGTGGAAATTGGTTGAATTTTGACCGAGTTATGGGGCTGGGAAATTTTGACCTATATCTATATTTCATTTTCACACGAATTTTGACCAAAAGCGTTACCTTACTTTAATGCCAAATTGATTTGGCACTTAATGCAAGACAATCTGGCATCAAAAGGTCTTTGATCTCGCCTCGAACTGAAACTGGAGCTGCGGCCAGGATTCAATCGGGAATCGGCAATTAGTATTTGCGGTCGCCAATTGAGGTGCTTAATTATGCAATAAGGGTTACGCGGTCGTCCTGGGACACGACCCCGGAGCACATTGAACTTTGCAATTGCCACAAAAATAAAAAGACCGTTGACTTAAAGTTGTAATTGGAGTCAGGTGAACGATTTTAAATTGCCATAAAAATATTAAGAGTAAACAAAATAAATACAATTACAAATAGGCATATCAGCTAGAACTATTCGAATAGATATATGGCTATTACGTATATATGTATATGTACAGAACGATTAATTTCAAATCAACTATAATTAATGAGGCTGCCAACCAGCTTGACTTAATAGGCCTGTCGATGCTTGTCCTTGTTGCTGGGCTTCTTCGAGGAGATGAGTGTGCGGCGTTTCAAACGCTTCAGTTTTGTCTTCTCACGCTTGCGCATCTTCTCCTGGGCCACCTGGACAATGGTGTCGCGCAGCTTTAGTCTGTATTTCATGAGATTGTTCAGTTCGTTGCCCAGTCCCTGCTGCTCCATGGGCGCCAGATTCTCATCGTTGGCATCCTCCTCGTCGTCCGTCAACAGGGCCAATTGGCTTTCGGCCCAGGCTGCATCATCGTCCAGCAGCGCGTGTGAGCGTGGCAGCTGCGACTCCTGCTGCTTGAGCAGCTCCTCGGTGAGCAGCAGCTTCGAGGTGGCCCACTTGACCACATGATGGTCCTTCAGTGCCATTTGCTGGCGATAATGAAACAAATGCAACGTCACATTTGCCTTGGGATATGACTCCTCCTCCGCTTCCTCCTGTTCCGTCGCAGCTGAATCTTCAGCTGGGCTGCTGCTGCTCACGGCTGGCATTGGTTGGACCACAGCCACTGGCCTATCGCAGGATACTTTTGCTTCCAGTACATTGCCCATCTTGGTGCCTTACCAGTTCAATTATCACTGACAGCTGCAGCTAATACGCGCCCCGAATATATATACGATATAGGCTATATGCTGGACAAAATAGATTATAAACTTTGGCGGGACGAGCAGGTAGACATCAACTACCTACTTTGGGAACACCTGGTGCTGGATTAGAGAACGTTTTCGAAAACCCCTAAATATCTGGAAAAACAATAAAAAAAAATGCTTCAGGCTTCTTATAGTCTAGGGTTGCCGCAGAGCTAATAAGTAAGTTTTCCCTTTCGACTTCGGTTTCGGCAATTTGTCAGAAGACGTGAATTCGTTGCGCTATTTTTACGATATTTAACTAGAAATTCAAATATATGTATGTTTAGAGTACTACATTTTAGCAACTTTTCACATAGATTTATTCACACGCCTGCTAAGTCAATTCATTTTTGACTTGTTGATATTTAAGAACATTTCTTAAAGCGCATATTTAAAATATTTAACCTAAAAGTAACGTAACCTAAAAGTATCTAACCTAAAAGTTAGGTTAGGTACATGTTTGCACTTTACGTAAAGCTAACATTCCCATTAAAATGTTATCAAAAATGTGAGCATCTAAGCTGTCAATTTGATTTTGCTTTTACAAACATTACGGCATCTAAAATGTTCGTAACTAACCTTAAAATTTAAAATACTTAACCTAAAAGTAACGTAACCTAAAAGTATATAACCTAAAAGTTAGGTTAGGTACATGTTTGCATAGTTAAGCTAACATTCCCATTAAAATGTTATCAAAATGTGAGCATCTAAGATGTCAATTTGATTTTACGAACATTACAAACATTACGGCATCTAAAATGTTCGTAACTAATCTTAAAGTTGGGAAAAGCCCATGTTTGTAATTTAAACATATATTATATATAAATTTTATTAAATTATATCTAATGTCAAGAGTTTAGGCTACTTAAGACTCTAGCCAGGCCCTAAACTCTTACAAGCGTTTATTGATCTAACCTCAAAAGGCTCTGCCTAACCTGCAAGTTAGAAAAAGCGCAAGCGTGATATTTTAAAATATCTAATGCATCCAAATTTACAAAAAACGCAAAAACCTGATCAAATGAATATTCCAGATTGATAGACAATGCTGTCCAAATCATAAATGCATAAGTGCTTAACTTTAAAGGTTCGTACCTAACCTGCAAGTTGTTAAAAGCGCAAGTGTGAAATTATAATATATGTAATGCACACACTTACAATTTCGTCAAGTACTTGAGAGAATATTTAAGTTGATTTTGAGCATATTCTATGCTAATCTCAAGAGCATATTTAAAAAGTTATTACCTAACCTCAAAAGCACGTACCTAACCTACAATTTGGGTCAAGCGCACGTGTGGCGATTCCATACTGTACTGCTCAAATGTTCACAATTTCGTCAAGGATTTGAGCAAGTATAGTTGATTTCAAACATAATATTCGACCCAAATATTTGATGCTTATTACACATCGTGTACCTAACCTCAATTGTTTATTACCTAACCATGCAAGTTGGGACACGCACACGTGTGCATCAAGTAGGCAGGTCAATTGACATTGAGCTGCGGCAATCCTACCTGTCCGTGGATATATGGTATATCCAGGGATATATAAGCCGGTTAACATGTCGCCAAATGCAGCACTCGCTTCTGAACGCCCGTTGGCCATGGACCAGAACACAACTCAGCTGTTGATGTTCCGCGCACCGTTGGACGCACAGAGTCAACTGTTCATATTCAATTCGCCCATCGACTATTCAGATCAGCAGCTAGTTGTGTATCAATATTCCGGTATGCTGGACGGCGACAGTGGCTATTGTGTGGTCTATAAGCGGGATCATTTTATCATCAACAATCCGCCCAATTATCAGAGTCCCACCAAGCGCAGCTTTCTCAACGAGTGCATCCGTCAGCTGTATATCATCAATGGACTGGCCCACAAGCTGCTCTGGGCGCCCAACACATCGCTGGCCAGCCGCCAGGAGCTGTGGCAGCAGGTGGACCTTTGCCTGCAGCCGGAGCGTCTAAGTGCGCATAGCGCCAGCCTGCAGCGGGTCAAGCGGCAGCTGTTCCGGGAGACGCGACGTAGCCGCAAATGCGCGCCCAGTGTGCGCGGCCAGGTCTGGGGCACACAGGTGTTATACTTTAGGCCGATGCGTTCAAAGCTTGGCCGGCGGAACATACGTCGCGGCTACATGACGGTGGCCAGACACATTGTGCTCCAGCAAATGATACGTGAGAATCTGAAGCGTGAGATGATCCACACGCCCGCGGTATGCCAGAGCGTCATCAACGCCGCCGAGGGCATATTCAATATGAATGCCGGTGTCATCGGCGAGATATGCAGCTATCATCGGAGCGCTGCACGCCATCAGTCCGCCGTAAATTGTCACCTGAGCGACGCTGAGCTGCGTCTGCGCAACAACGAGGCCTGCCAGCTGACGCAGCGTGCCAAACGGCTGGAGGCCATGTTCCTGCACGAGCAGGTGCGTCGCGCTGTACAGAATCATCAGCTTATATTGGAGGAGTCCGTGCGTTCCATATACTATGCCAAGCAGCTGTTTCGTCTGATTGAGGATCACGAGGAGTTCGTCTATACGGACAAGCAGATAATGGGGCGTGGCTGTTGTTAGATCTGTCTCCCACTCTCTCATCCTCTCATTTTATATATGTAAAAATATATTTGTAAGCATTAACATAAGTAGTTTGTATAAAAATTCAAATGCATAACACTATACAAAATTAATTGTTATTATTGTTCCTGGTCGATTCCAAATCGATCGAGGCACGCCAATTCTAGTATTTCGCTGTCTTTTGCTCCTCTATCAGCTGGGAATGTACACCCATAAGGCTCTGCAAAAAGAAAAGGGTTTTTTTCTGATTAATTATACTTGACATAATCGATTTATATTCCAAACTGCGACCTATCCTTTGATTTTCTCTGTCATTTCTATAGATTTTAAAGTTTGTCATACTTTCTTTCACTTTCATATTCTGATCATAAATTTGACAATCACACTATTTTTCTAAGATTTCTTAGCTACCATCTTTTAACAAATTGTATCTTAAATTATTCTCTGGAATTCTTAAAAGCATATAAGGTTTTTTGATATAATACAAAGAAACAAAGTATCTAAGCATCTAGAGTTATAGGCATTATTTATTTTATAGGCAGCGAATCCCACAAAGCTTATCAGAAATCTAACAGGCTAATAGTTTACCATATGACTTCTTAAAAGAGTTGCCCATTTCTTGTCCTGGATGCGTTCTTATATACTTTGTATTTATTCTTCTTATTTATTGCATCTATTTGTTTAGATCTTGAAAGTCTTCCCATTCACAGTTTCTGAAACATTTCTTGAGTTTCAATATTTTTCAATTGAGTTTCTTTCGAACAGTCCTTAGATTCAATTGCTTGAACAGTCTGAAAATATGCTGCATTATTATTTTAAACAACTTAAGTACTAAAACTAAAACCTATGCATTTATTACTATGAGTGAGTAGCCTGTTGTGGACTCTGGCCTCCTACTAATCCAACGAGCTATAGCTCTCAATAAAGTCCTAGCAAACATTTCCTTAAAACTCTCTTTAATTATAAAATATCCGCTTAGTGTATACTAATTGAAAAAATAGGCCCAACCGCTTTGGTTATACATTACATTTGAAGTTTGTGTAACCCTCCTGGAAGGCATCGGCATTTGTATCTCTTAGTATGCCCTGTGAAATTATGAAAAACATATGGCAGCCAGACATTAGCAAAGATATATCCTCAGCCATAAGACTAACCAAGTTAACCAAGTTGAGAGAAGCAACAGCAGCTATTGGATTAGTATATAGTATAAGGTTAAGCTAACAGAACCAGCACCTTGGCAAGCTACGTATATATCCGGTGTATATCCTAATTATATCCAGCAGCCCAATCGAATACCAACTAGCTACAATTGTAGTTGCCTTGCGCATACCTGGAAGTATTTAACCGTCTTTACGCGCAGCTCCAGCGTCGCGTCCTCATCGCAGATCATCAGAGTATTTGCATGCTGCTGGAATGCGCTGACAGTCCACATATGATTGACGCCCTCCTCGATGGCCTTATAGAGAGCGAAGGCCTTGTGGGCGCCGGTAATCAGGATCATGACCTCATTCGAATCCATGACGGTGCCGACGCCCACAGTGAGCGCCTGTTTCGGCACTTTATTAATGTCATTCTCAAAGAAACGGGCATTCGCCTCCAGCGTATCCTGTGCCAGCGTCTTGACACGTGTGCGCGAGACCAACGATGAGCCGGGCTCATTGAAGGCTATATGGCCATCGGGTCCAATGCCGCCAATGAATAGCTCTACGCCGCCAGCTTGCTTGATCAGCTCCTCAAACTGTTTGCACTCGGCAGCCAAATCGGGCGCATTTCCATCCAATATATGCACATTAGCGGGCTCAATATCGATGTGCTTGAGGAAATTGTGCCACATGAAATAGTGATAGCTCTCGGGATGATCACGCGGCAGTCCTGCAAAGTGCATGCTTTAGCTTTGTATATAACTTGATAAGTGCAAATCCCCCGCACTTACCCACATACTCATCCATATTGAAGGTCTTCACATACCGAAAGGAGACCTTGCCCTGTTTGTAGAACTCAATCAGGGCTCTGTACATGCCCAAAGGTGTGCTACCCGTGGGCAGGCCCAGCACAAAGTATCTGTGGAATTTAAAGAGAGAGAGAGAGATTATATTAAACTGGACCATGTTGATAAGACTCACCTATCGGGTCCCGGCTTAAAATCATTGATCCGCTTGACCACATACTTGGCCGCCCAATTGCCAACCGATTCGCTTGTTTCCAAGATAATCAAACGCATTTTTTCTACTTTTATTATTTAGTACTGAAAATTTTGAGTATAAATTAAGTGTTTGACTTGTTTTATGCATTCTGATTGTGGATAAGATTAGCTGAGGCATATACATTTTAAGTAGGTTATGTATTTATGAATTTCTGTTGGTAAACTGTTCTTTACCTTATTTTGAGCATCGATACAGTGGGCACTCGAAGCAGTAATTGGTATAATTAATTTCGCATTTCATAATATTATTAGTTTAATTTCAATGATATAACGAGTTCTTTGTTGTAGGGAATTTATCTTTTTACGATACATTTTTCTCTTACACTGGCACTGATCAGCTCAACTTATCGAACGCCCACTGTATTCACTTTCGTTCTCAATTATGAAGAATGAGTGAGTGAGTGAGTGAGTGAGTGAGAGAGTGAGTGAGAGAGAAACAGACATTTGCACTTGAATTTCTATGGAGGACACTTGACGGTCGTCAAGCAGCACACGTCCACTCACCTGAACAAGGCTAACGAATATAGTTTCAAAAAATATTGTATTTAACAATAAATAAAGGCACGCACTGGCTATCGCAGTTGGCTGAACAAATAGCGAGCGCACCTGGAGCGTTCGAATCGCTGACAAGACTGGCAAACAAGCTGTGTGTGCCGCTTCAATTTGGCTGCCAATTTATATACAATAATAATCGCGAATAGCTCTTGCTTATACGCGCTCTTAGCGATAAAGAGAATACGCGAAGCTGCAATTCAAACAACATAACCTTGAGATACTTTCTGACCGGGCTTATCGCGTCGCGTTGTATGCGAACCGCTATAAACTCCAAGGGGTGCCACACACAACTCGACGCATTTATCAGTTGCAGCGTCAGTTTAGCTGCAGCCACAACCACCCGCCGACAACTAAACGAAAAAGCGACAAGAATAACACATTTAAATAGCGCTTAATATGCAGCAACAATAGTTGAATGAACTTGACGCTGTCAAAATGAGTGAGTACATTGGTGAGCAGCAACGCTGTGCGGTACTCTTCTTTTTTTTTTCTTTGAGTGGCTTAACTTATTGGCGTTGCCAGATGGTGAGCATATTTGAGTCAATATCCAGTCACATGCATACATACAAAAGACACAAATATCCAAAAATAACTCAACACGAAACGAGCAGCACGCAGCTAGACAAAAGTGTACACTCATGCCCTACAACAAGTCTGGTTAGTTTGCACAGCAGCTTGGACCGCAAATCATATAAGATTGAGTGCAAACGTTTTTATGAAACATATTTATTCATATAGCAGTTACATATAGGCTTAAGTTTAACATTTTATAGTTAGGCTCTTTATTTGTTTTTAATGAATTGTTGTGTCGTGGCCACACCCACTTTGAGCTGATTTTGTTTGCACACAGAAAACAAGAAAACCGGTTCAGCGGCCAAGAACCAACAAAAACAATCTAACGAGCACCAACGAAGGGAGAAATTTCGACTCATTTTAAAAATATACTGCAGGCTCTCCTCACATACATACATACATAGCTATTTATGAGTATTTTTAATGCTCTGCTCGCACAAAAAAATACTTTACATATATATAATGTACATGTGTGTAGTATGTTGAGGGGGGCGGGGGCGGGGGCGTTAGGAAGCTCAACAATATATGTTGTTACATTTTTACTGATTTTTATTGATTTTATTATCGTTTAATTAGTTTTAACATGAGCTCGTCGTAGTATGTTTAATTTTCTGCTTATAAAACTATATATATATATTTATAAGTATATTTATATTTAAATGAAGAAGTAGCTCCAAATGCATCGAAAATGCTGTCAACTCAGCATTTGCAAAGCACTTGAATGCACAAGTACAAAAATGAATAGAGTTGAATATTGTTGATTTTGTAAATTCTATGTGGTATATGTGTAATTAAGCAACATAATTAAATATACCAAATAAAGTTTACAAAACTTGCTTATTGTTAAATAAGGATTGTACGAGGGGGTGGGCTTTTGGGGTTGGCTTTTTCAATATAAAAAAAAAATCTGAATTCGAACATGTAACGTAAATTAATTGTCATTTTTTTCGGTAAACACAAAGGAAATGTTGTGGGTGGGTGGTTGGGTTGGGGGAATCTTAGGTAGAGCACAGAAATTATATATTAAACATGTGGAAGAATAGAGACATGAAATTGTTCTGCAAGTTTTACAATTGAATAAATTAGTTGCTTGGCTTCTGTTTTGTTTAGTTTATGTTTTTTTCTTCTTTTACTACTTAGGGTAGCCACAAAAAATAATAACTTAGTTGATAATATACTTCTGTCTGTTTGTTTTGTTTATTTGTTTGTTGTTGTTTGTGTGTGTGTGTGCTTGTCTGGCTGTGTATTATTATATGCTCGGCTGCTATTACATAATCGCGCACTTCTCGCCCGCCTGCTGGGGATCGCCCTGCTGATGGTACAGCTGCTCGTTGCCATCAACGGCGCTGACACTGCGCCGACGGCTGAGGCGTGTGGAGGACACATGTGTGGAGACAATGCGTTTGATGCGCTCCAAATTGGCGACCGTTTCACCATCGCCATTCAACAGAGTCGTCTTTGTATTGTCGCCCGTAATCCACTTTTGTTGCTTCATCACGATATTCGATGGTGGCTCGTGCGTGGCCCTCGAGTCGGATGACCAAACGGTCACCGTGGCGTTCGGTTCAATTTTAACCGAACGATGGAACTTATAGGTTGTCGCCGGTCCAGAATCGTTAATGGAACGCTGCAGCTGCCAGCCGCCAATGGATACTTCGTCGTTGCCCTTGTTGTACAGCTTCACGAATTTGCCCTCAGGATCGATCTCTTTGATTTCTATGTTGCCCTTGGCACTGGCAGATACATAAAAATCGGATACGCTGCGATCCTCTGACTCATCGACAACGGCACGCTTCCGCTTCAGTCCACCCGATGGGGTGCGACGTGAGGGCGTGGCACGGGTGCTGCGCAACGATTGACTGAACGATTGTACAGTTGCCGAATTGGCGGGCGTTATATTCAGACGCGCCTCCTCGCCCACCAACAGCTTGTCGTAGGCAGCAATTTCCAAATCCAAAGAGACCTACAAATGGTTACAAACGGATTAAGTTTAGGTTTTAGTGAAAAGATCCTCTGTAGTTCTAACCCACCTTGATGTCCATCAAATCCTGATACTCCTGCAGCTGATGTGCCATTTCCTCGCGCAAACGCAGCAGCTCCTTTTCGAGCATTGCAATATCATTGCCATGACGCTCGCGATCAATGTCCAGCTGCTGTTCCAGCTCACGTATGCGGGCATTCAACACCGCATTGGTTGACTCCAGATCATTGATTTTAGCATTGAGTCCATCGATGCGGATGCGTGAATTGCGCAGCTCCTCAATAGACTTGTGCGACGAATTGTGCGTGCGAGAGGCTGCATCCTGCAGCGAACGTATCTTGGCCTCGTACAGGGATTCGATGTCCTCGCGATTGCTACGCATCTGCTCTTCGTATTGGCTGCGCAGCTCGTGCAGCGATTGCTGCAGCTTAGCCTCATACTCGGACGATAGACGGCCATCGATTTCGCTGTATTCGGTTTGACGTATGCGACGCGATTCGTTAATCTCTTGGACGTGAACTTGATCCTTCAGTGAGAGCTCCTCGCGCAAGCTCTGTATATTGTTCTCGAGATCAACGCGCGCCAATGTCTCCTGTTCGAGATTCTTGCGCGAGTCCTCTAGATTCTTACGCAGACGATCTAGCTCCTTTAGTGCCTCGTTTAAATCATCAACTGCCTTCTTGCGATCGGCATTGGCCTGGGTATATTTATTGCTTAGCTCATTGGCACGCGACTCATAGATGCGGGCATTGGCTGGCGAGGTAAAGGCAGGGGTTGATTTGTGTGATTAATGGCTTATGTTGCTTATAAACTCACCCTCAGCAGCGCTGCATTCCTTGGTCTTTTTATCCAGACGCGAGGTCAGCTCCTCATTCTCTTCCCACAGGCGCTTGGTATCAATCTCTAGACGTGCACGTTCGCGTGCCAATTCGTCGAGCATGCGACGTGCTTCGAGCAGTTCCGTCTCATAGATGTTCTTAATGTTGGTCGTCTCTCTGGTAACGGTGTCACGTGTCGTTTGCACCTCAATGCTGAGACGTGAGTTCTCCGTCTCCAGATTGCGTACACGATCTATATAACAGGCCAGACGATCGTTCAGATTCTGCAGCTCAACCTTCTCGACGAGGCGCGAGTGGCGCGTGGGGCTTAACGGGCTGCTCGCCTGTTGCTGCGACTGCGACTGCGACGACGTTGACTGTTGCTGCGGCCCAGATGATGGGGGGCGCGGGGTCGAGGTGCTGCCGGGCTGCGGCGTCGCGGTGCCAGCGCGTCGAGATTTAGACGACATTTTTACGGTCACTTGCTGCTGCCCAAGAAAAATACGTAATGGAAAAAATGAAAAATTGGTTCACACATAATTATGCAAATTAATCTTAAAGCAGACTTTAAACTCACCTTATTATGCTTATGCTTTTAGCTCGAGATATTTTAGCGCGCAATCGTTCGCTTTGGCCTGATAAAATTCCAAACAGAAACAGAAATATCAGAAATAAGAAGAAAAAAAAATCACTCAAAATACGAGCGGAACACGAGAAAGAGCGCAATGAAAGCGAAACTAGTTTCTCTGCTGCTATTGCACTCTTTGAGCACAAAACAAGTTTCTCCACTCAAGCGACTGTACTAAAGCGAACGAACGAAAAAAACAATTGAGTGACTTTTGCGGCGTTTTGTTTATGGGCGTGGGGTAAAAATACGCGGGTGCGGCAGCATAACGCTCGTTAAATATATTAAATGCAAACAAATGTATTTGTTGTAAAAATGCTTTTAACTACTGCACACAAAATTTGTTGCATGAAATTGCACAATATGGCGTTTTTAATTCACAATTTGCCTTTTCACAGCGGCATTCTGTTGCAGCTGCAGGGGGGCAAGCGCAATGGCAACTTTGAGAGGGAAACATTAATTAGGAAACTCTTGCACTTTTCACTACCTCTTCCAACACGTAGTTCACAAAACGAAACTTCGAAAATTAAAAGAACTTACGTGGATATTTATATTTATTTGTATGTTGCACAAGTCTAAGGCAGAAAGTTTTATTGCCCTCAGAAAACGCGGCCGACGTGAATCTCCGTTGAGTAGACTGACGCTGACACTTTCGATATTTTCGCGTAACTATGGTAACTATCGGTCAATTGCGTATGCAACTCTGCAATTGATGAAGATGAAACAGCGGTATCGGTAAATTCGTCTTAACTTGCATATGCAATACAATTTAAGCCTTCGAAAATATATTTTTAAATCGTTTTTTTATAATTGATTGACTTTTATAACTTTTTGACTGATGATGCTGGATATCGAATACATGACTACTGCGTCTATCGAAAAGGTACTTCGATTACGATAGTGAAAATTACACTCATTATCGACGTCACGTTCAATCATTGAACTTCAATATCAGCATAGCTTTTTAAACTAGCTGACAAATATTTATTACTCTTAGAAAAATATAAATAAGACAACGTGCAAAAGGTAAGTGCATTTGCCATATGTCAAAAGTTATGAAGTTAAGATCATGCACAAAATGTTTCGCAATATTTTGTAAATCGGCTGTGTGATTCAGTGTAATGAAAAACAAGATGGCGGAGCGCATATGCCGGTTTGGCATATAAAAACGCGGCATTTGCGGCACATACAGGCACATGTAACTTACAAGAGCCATTTTTTTCACAGAATTAAAAAACGGTTCTCGCTAAGCATATAACGCACAGAGAAATAAGAAAAAATGGCCGATAATGACGATCTTCTCGATTACGAGGATGAGGAGCAGAACGAGACCACTGCCGTTGAGAACCAGGAGGCACCAAAGAAAGATGTCAAGGGTACTTATGTATCCATACACAGCTCTGGTTTCCGTGACTTTTTGCTAAAACCCGAAATATTGCGTGCAATCGTTGACTGCGGTTTTGAGCATCCATCCGAAGGTATGTAAAGTGTACAGTTGCGCCTGTGAGAAGTTTTTATGAATTTGTATGTTATAACACTTGCAGTTCAGCACGAGTGCATACCGCAGGCTGTGCTCGGCATGGATATCCTGTGCCAGGCCAAGTCCGGTATGGGGAAAACGGCTGTCTTTGTGCTTGCCACGCTGCAGCAGCTGGAGCCATCCGATAATAACACCTGCCACGTCTTGGTCATGTGCCATACACGCGAACTGGCATTCCAAATAAGCAAGGAGTACGAACGTTTCTCCAAGTATATGCCCACAGTTAAGGTATGTACAGCTTAACCTATTCCATGGCTTAGGGTTTGCTTTAATTACCCTTGTTCTGGACAGGTGGCTGTATTCTTCGGCGGTCTGGCAATCCAAAAGGACGAGGAGACTTTAAAGAATGGCACACCCCACATTGTTGTTGGCACTCCTGGACGTATTTTGGCGCTCATCCGCAACAAGAAGCTGAACCTGAAGCATTTGAAGCACTTTGTTCTGGACGAATGTGACAAGATGTTAGAGCAGCTGGGTAGGTTTTTTATAATATATTTTCAAAACGCAGAAAGTTTATGCCAATACGTATATGATTTTTCTTTGACAGATATGCGTCGGGATGTGCAGGAGATTTTCCGTAGCACACCACACGGCAAACAAGTTATGATGTTTTCCGCCACTTTGAGCAAAGAGATTCGTCCCGTTTGCAAAAAGTTTATGCAAGATGTAAATATCTTCGTCGCACTTCTACTACTACTACTATTACGACCACTAGCTATAATAATATATTGCGAAAGCACGCACGCCATACAAATCAACCTAAATACTACCAAAAAACAATTGTCACACATTCTGCCTTATACCTGAAATCAGTCAACTTTCTTGTAACTGGTTAAAACGCGTTAATTGTAAATGTTTACGAGCACAGTCATATTAACCAAACTTTGTAAATGGTTAAACGTTGCAATATCTTGTCTATGATTGCCAAACACCATTTTCTAAATGGTTAAACGCATAAATACAAACCGAGCTGGCGCTATAAGCGCATAACATATATAAAATCCTTGTCCATAACCATCAGAAACCATTTTCTAAATGGTTAAACGCGTAAAATGCAAACGATAAAACGCTAAGTGCGTATAAAATATACCGAAACTTTTGCCTATAAAACTCAAACCATTTTCTAAATGGTTAAACGCGAAATACAAACGTCAAACTACCAAAAATAACAAAGAATAAATTTTAAATCGCAACCAGAAATGCAACCAACAAATATATATATATATATAAATATTTATATATATTAAAAAAAAATCAACAGCAGTCACACAAACGATACTGAAAATGAGTCTGATACTTCCCACGAATCGCCTGATGTCCACATGGAGCGCTAGCTACCCTGTCGAACAGCCTTTGAGGTGATGATAGACGCTACAGATGCGCAGCAGTGGCGGCAGCAAACAACAACATTAATATACCCGTACATACATACTAGTTGATGATGATGTTGGTTTTTAGCGTGGCCGTATGTAGAATTTGTAGGCGTACCCTAGCTTAAGTTTTCATTTGCATATGTCAAATTTAATTGTTTTTCTCTTAAAATGCAAACAAAACCCATTTCCAATATTTCAATAGCCCATGGAGGTGTACGTCGATGATGAGGCCAAACTGACGCTGCACGGCCTGCAGCAGCACTATGTCAATCTTAAGGAGAACGAGAAGAACAAGAAGCTGTTCGAATTGCTCGATGTGCTCGAGTTTAATCAAGTAATATCTTCAGACTTTTGACTTCATAATCTCCCTATCTATTTTATATGGTATACTCAACGATATTCTCGCTTTAGGTTGTCATCTTTGTCAAGTCTGTGCAACGTTGTGTGGCCTTGGCGCAGCTGCTGACCGAACAAAACTTTCCGGCCATTGGCATTCATCGCGGCATGAATCAGGATGAGCGTTTGAATCGTTATCAACAATTCAAAGATTTCCAGAAGCGCATCCTGGTTGCCACAAATCTCTTTGGACGCGGCATGGACATTGAGCGTGTGAATATTGTATTTAACTATGACATGCCCGAGGATTCGGACACATATCTGCATCGTGTGGCGCGTGCTGGTCGTTTTGGTACCAAAGGCCTGGCCATTACCTTTGTCTCCGACGAGAACGATGCTAAGATACTTAACGAAGTACAGGATCGTTTCGATGTCAACATTAGCGAGCTGCCAGAGGAAATTGATTTGTCCACATACAGTAAGTGCTTAATTATGTTTTAAATTGTTCGTTGTTATAAGCGTTCGTGCCTTATTTTACAGTTGAGGGACGCTAGTCATAGCGCGTGGAACATCAGAACATTTAAGATCAGCATAAGACAGTAATGCAACTATATAACAAAAGATACCAATTTTTATAAAATTTACTTTATAACTAATAAACTACAATCCAAACAACGTGTTAATGTAAAATAATATAAATGCATTTGTTTGGTTTCTTCAGAAATGAATCTTAAATAGATGAAATGTAGAGACTGAGTAATTCATAAGACAAACTCTACTCTTACACAAAAGGGCACATTAAGCACATTTACTGACTCACACGAAACCTTTAAATCTGATTTCATTCAGATACAAGCATCCAACTTTTGGACTATCTTTTTGCAGGCTTTCATGAGACAGTATATAACAGTTTGAATAACTGTTTTTTGTTTTGTTTTACCGTTGCTCTGATTAGAGACGAACGATTTTTACACAACCCGTTGCACTTAACAAGTACTTAGAAATCGATACCTTTTAAGCCGATGCTTATATTTAATTAATTATTTTCAGTTGAATTATTTATTGTAGACAAAAATTATTTTTGCTTAAGACCTTCTGTGGAGCTACGCGTTTTGTTTTTAAGAATCTAATACTTGCTGCTAGACAAGTTTTAGATCTTCGTTTTTTGGTTCTCTGAGTATTAATATCGTCTCCTACCTAATAGTCTATTGTGAATGATCAGTAAATATATAATATACCAAGGAAATAAAGCTTATCCAATCCATCAGTTTGAATGTCCAATTTATATATTGGGATTTTGAACGTCCGTTTTAGGACATGCGCAAAACGTCTTGAATTTCCGGCGGTTTCTGTCATGTGTAGGGTTACCTAAGGGCTGGTCCTTGGCGGGGGAGGGGGAGTTGTATAAAAGCGAAAAACAGAAGAAGCAGAGACTTGGCATTACCGACAAACCATGTGAAAAACAAATTCGCGTTAACAAAATGCTGTTAAAAAAATATGTAAAAACGCGCCGCAAGGTCAAGATTCTGCTGCTGGTCACAATTGTGGCCCTGATTGTGATCACCTGCATCATTTTGCTTGGCACGTCGGGGGCACCAAATAGTGCGACAATTGAGCGTTTGCTGGACGAACGTTTCATTGCGCGCGCCTATCAGCCGCAGTCGGAGCAACTGCAGCTGCAGCAGCCGCGGGAGCAGGCGGTAGCCCTGCTCCAATCGCATCGCGAAAATGGCGTCATTGTGCCGGAAAAGTATGACGAGCAGAAGATCAAGTCGCGCATCATGCAGAACCGCCTGCAGCAGGCGAAGCAGCAGCAGCAGCACGACGCTGAGGCGGAGCAGGCACGCACCACGGTTGATGCTCTGGCCACAGCTGTTCACATATTCTATACGGCTCCGGTGCCCTGGTACAAGTCCAAGAAGCCGCCACTGCCACCGCCAGAGCATCCCAATGAGGTTGCGCTGCCGCTGACCACACCAAAGCCGGTTAAGATACTGAATACGGCTTTCTATCCGGCCCTGGGCTTGTATAAGCCCACCGTCAAGCTGCTGGGCCAGCATATGGATAACATACGCAGCTGTGGCATTGGCGTGATCATATTAAGCTTTGTCCGGCCGTCGGATCCGGCGCTATTGCATCAAATCATTGACCTGGCGCCGCAGCATAATCTGAGCGTCACCTTTGAACTCAGCGTCGCGGGCAATCGTACGCTGGAGTTTGTGCGCCAGCAGCTGCAGGATATTGCCGCGTATGTAGAGCTGCCGGGCTTTTATCGCGTGTGGAGCCAATCGCGTGCCGCATTGCTGCCCGTGCTCTATGTGAGCAATGCGTATAAGCTGAGTGAGAGTTTGGGCCGGCATCTGTGCCGACCCACGGTCCAGGAGCTGGCGGAGCAGCAGCAGGTGCCTGGAGAGATAGGTGGATTGCGGCGTGTGCTGGATGCCTTCTTCATTGGGCACATCAGGTGGGCTATTCTCATATCTAATCCAATCCAACCAATCCTTTAACCATTCGACAGACTTAAAAGCCATGCGGATGTTCTGCGTCGTTTGTGCTTCGATGGCTTCTACAGCAAATTGCCTAGCAATGGCGCCGTCTTTGCCAGCACCTGGAAGAACTGGTCCTATCTCAAATCATATGCCCTGTCCTACAAAATGCTGTTTGTGCCAACAGTGGGTCCAGGCTTTGCGGAGCGCAATAAGTTTCCACGTCATGGTGATATACAACGACACAGGAGCAATGGGCGCGTAAGTTGCAGCTGTCTCCGACTAGAGCACCCTTAATTACTTTCATAAATTTCCCATTTCAATTTGCAGTACTATGGCGTGGCCTGGCGCACAGCCATACTAAACCATGTGGGCTTCATCAACATAGCCAGCTACAATAATTGGCCGGATGGTAGCCAAATCGAGGAGGTTGTGCCACGCGCCGGTTTTCTAGATTACAATCCGGGCTCGAGGACCAAATATCTGGATCTAACGGCCCACTGGGTGGGTAATTTTCTAAAGACGCGCCAAGAGGCAGCCGCGGCGGCAGCGGGTGCGCCCCAGAACTGTTACGAGCTGCTCAATAATACAATTTGTTGAGACGGACGTTTATGCGTGTGCAATTCGTGATTAAGGAAATCACCAAAGAACTCATATCGTCGATTCAACTTGTTGCCTTACCCATGGAGGAGGAGCAGTCAGTCGTAGCTTCCATTTGATGCACGTGCTAAATGTGCGTGTTTACTTTAAAAGCAATCAATTGCAATTGCAGAAAAAAATTACTTTCTTACTGTTAACAAGTCTTCTACTACAAAAAAATCAACTAAAAATGCCTATATAGCAACTATTACAATTATCTATGTATCTGCCAAAAAGTATAGAAAAAGTCTATTTAAAGTGCAAGCAATATATATTTAGGTAAACATATGTAACTAGGGCCTAGTCATAAAACAGCGCCAAATTATTTTAAAATTTTTAGCTTTTGATTAGTATTATTAACAAAAACAACAACAACAATATCATAACATAAAGCCATGCCATATTATATACATATATACATTTATATATAGAAAATGTAGCAACTACTAAATATTTGTTAAACATAAAAATTTATTAACACTTGTTAAACAAAGGTACTTACCAAATTTTATCTTTATTACAAGTACAATTTAAAAATAATATATACATATATATATATTTAACTATGTAATTAGTTTGACTAAGCTTTAATAGATTAACTAGTGCGAAACTAATATAAATTACAAACATTTATTATCATAATGCAAAACAAACAATTTTCATGAGCTTAATTAAGGCGCCACGTGTAAACACGAGCATTTTACAACACTTGCGTGCTCCCGCCATGAGTACACGCACACATGAGCATAAGCAACGGTAATGTTTTATGCCGTTATACGCAGTTTGATGTTATTTTCTCTAGCAATTTCCGTTTGAAAATGCGACAGAAAGTGTATAGCAAATGTTTGCATATTAGCAACAGGCAAGAAATATCACCGTGTAAAGAAAAAAGCCCAAGAAAATATAAGTGTTTGTTTTTTATGTGTATGTGTTAATGTGCGTAAGTGAATATAAGTGACTCCATCTTTAGAGGAGGAGGAGGACTATAAATCTTCATGGAAAAATCAACGAATCTAGCTTTCAATCTATAAAATATACCAGGCTACAGGTGAGTGCGTTTATCATAGCTCTATATAACGCGGGTTTATACATATATATATATATATACATATACATATGCACATATATTCTGAAGCCTCGGCACGAAAAGTGTTTGCACAAAAGCAATATACTCCTCTTTACCTTAAAAAGAAGCAGAGTAGCATAATAATAAATGACAGCAGCTGTCAGGCGTATAGCAGAAAATATTTGAAAAAAAAATACATAAATAGAATGTCCCAGGTAAGGTCGGGTAATTACTTTAACAAAGAGCAATCAAAGCGACAGCCCAAGCAACAGGCGCCCAAAGGCTGCTGCTGCAAGCGTTCGCAATGCATTAAAAATTACTGCGATTGCTATCAGTCCATGGCCATCTGTTCGATTTACTGCAAATGCATTGGTAAGTCCCAATGGCAGCTAAAGCATATGGCTACACATTCCGCAATCTACATATCTACAGGCTGCCGCAACACCGAAGAGCGACTGGCTGTGGCGACGCCGCCAAAGAAAACGGCGCTTGCCGCCAAGCGGGAACGTGCCGCTGCACTGAGCGCCAAGGCAGCGGCTGCAGCGGCCAAGGCTGGCATCAATATACATCTGAAGCCCGCGCCCGGATCAGCGGCATTTGCCGGTCAGCAATTTGGTGCGGCCGCACAGCCAATAGTAGCTCCAACGCCACAAATTCTACAGCTGCCCGATTTGGATCTGGAGAATATTATCACATTGCCTCCACCGAATGCCGCCATTGCGGTTAAGAAGCCGCAGCCAGCACAGCTCTTCGCCAGCCAGCCATCAACGCCGCCCAAGGAGGTGAATGTGTGCAAACAGCCCGTGAATGTAGCGTTGCTCGAGTGCATTCTGGTGCAGGCTGCCGAGGCCGAGGAGCTGGGCCTGAACGAGGTGCAGGTGGGCAAAGTAATATTGCACGAATTTGCGCGGGGGCTGCAGGCCATTATAAAGGTCTATAATACATAAATCGCATTCCATTTATTTAACAAAATAATGGGAAAAAAAAAATATAATAACTTCAGCATAAATTCGCCATTCAAATATAATTTTATAACTAAAAAATTAAGCTAGATGTCATAACACAATACAAATACATACAAATGTATATAAATCAGTTCAACCATGCATATATATCTATGCACCATGTAAAAATACAATCTGTACAAAAAGTAGTCTAGTTAGGTTTCTAGAGAAGCTTAGGAATAGAATATGTACATGAGGTTTTTATAGTTATCAGGTCTCTCCATGCGGTCCATGCAAAAATACAATATGTACATTAGATTTTGATAGGTGTTTGGTTCTCTCTCCCTCTACCATTCATGCGGTTGGAAGATTAGCTCCGTAGCCAGCAAATCGTAGTTTCTTCTTCGCTGTCCACCCTCTGGTGTTGTGGTTACATGCTTGTGCCGCTCCAGCGGCAGTTCATTGTCCGTATCGCTACTGCTGTCCGCCGATTCTTCGCCAGCAGCATCGTCACCCTCTTCGTTGATACGACGTCGCTTGGATTTGGGTCCCGATTTGGTTTTATATTTTTGCCAGAATTGCGCCGGCTGCGCAAAGTCCGTCAAGTTGGGAAAACGCATAGCCATGGCACGGCAAAATTTATGAAACTCCCGATGCAGTTCCTGGTTCATGTAATTACGCAAATGCCGATGCGTTTCCTCCACATAGCGTAGACAGCGCTCCAGTTGCTTTAGCTGTTGGGGATATATATATATATATCAAATTCTGTGGACAAGGTTTAGACTAAAAACAATTACCGGTTCCTCGGCCAATTCACGTTTACGTGCGCTGCCGCGTCCACGGCCCTTGCTTGTTGCTGCACTCTCGTTTGCTTGCTGCTGCTCCGCCGAAGATGTTGCTGGTGCTGGTGCTGGCGGCTCTTCCTCTGCCATTACGGCATCATCGTCATTATCGCCCCCGTTCTGCTGACGTTTGTTCTTGGTACAAAAGCATATGCGACGCATTACAAAGAGTATGTCCATGACAACGTCTAAGGCGCCGGGTAGTTTAATAAATGCCGCGTCCTTTGTTTTCTCTGTAAGATTATCAGATTGGAGTTATTAAGTTTTATTTATTGAGCTGATTTAGCTTACCGGCTAGCAGCTTTAGCTGTCCAAAGTACAACAGCAGCGTAGTTTCATCTAGCGCGGCGAGTATGTGATTATATAGCAGACGTCGATTTTTTTTATGCGCTGCTCCCTTTAACGGCGACTTGTAGCCGGGCTCCATGCGAGCTGAGCCGATTAGAAACGGCTGGTCGTTCAAATCGAAGGGAATCTCCTTGAGACAATGATGAAACAAGGACTTGTCGTACAATTTTTTGTAACGCATAAAAAAGGCATCCGCTTCGCGCGCTACCTCGGCGCTGTCATCCACCAGGCCCGCCAGCAGAGAGACTAAAATGGCGCCCTTCAATTTAATATTGCCTGCCAGGATGACATCCTTGACACAGCGATAGGTGCGCACACGTGTTGTGGCATATTTCGAGAACAGCTTGACCAGAATACATTTCATATTGCTTTCCAGTATTGTGGGATACTTCTTGCCCAAATCATTGAGGCCAATCAGTGTGCTATTTATCAATTGTGGCCTATCATTGCGGCTTAGTATCTGCCCATACATTTTGGAAACTCTGTGTGCCAGATTATTGTCTCGCAGGGAGAGCCGACCCGCAATTACAACCATCCAGTTCATGATGCGCTCGTTCTCCGTATCGAAACTGGACTCATTCAGGCCAATGCACAATTTCACATAGCCAAGCACAAAGTTAACAATTCTCTCATCCGCACGCTGCGGCAACATGACAATCAGCTCGGAGTATGTGGCCAGAAGTGAAGCTAAACGTATGTGATCCGCTTCAAAGTTCTCCATGCACAGCTTTGTGGCATTTGTGACATCCTCGAGCAGCTGTTGTTGCCAATTCTCGACAGTGACGCTATCCGCCGGGGCCTGACTATGTGACAATTGATCTATATGATGCAATAGGAGTATCGCAGGCGAGATAAGCGCCAGCCAAATGCTGCCCGTGCTCAGAGCCGAGAGCAGACGTATAAAGAGCTGATTGAGTGATGCCTTGGAAAAATTGGACAGACAGTAGCAGATCAATTGAAGTGCCAACACCTGATTGGATTTCATATTGTACGATGACAGGCAATCGAATGTTGGAATAATTGAGTCTAAATTATTTGTGATGCGACTGGATATTAAGAGTAGCAGTGTCCACGCCTCCGTTGCCATTGGTGTGTTCAAATGCGATATTATGGTATTCACAAGCCTGGGACTGTAAGCAAAGTGGCATGAGTGGATTTTACTTATGTTTCATTTAAGTTGGAGCTACTCACGTTACCACATTCTCGTTCTGCAGCAAAAGAGTGAGCCTTTGCTGCAAATAATCCCGCGGCTGCGAAGCCAACAGCGTGGTCAGTATGTGCCAGGGCAGCAGATGCTTGGGTTCATTGGAAAACTCCAGAGGCTTTATGTTCATTAATATATTGCGATTGAAGCTCTGCAAATGAGATGTTATTTAAGATATGTTTAGATTAGTTAAGAATTCACAACTACGATATACCATGTACCCAGGTTAGATATAGACAAAACCCACAGTTGTGGCTGTCCTTCTTCTTCATTCAGCCCAACTTTGCAAAATGCATTCTCAAATACCTTCGGTGTTTATGGTCCGATCGTTTTAAAATTTTCAGAGCTCAAAGAAGGCAATCTAATATTTGTATATACCAAGTATGATGTCTTAATAATGCGTATTTGTTTCCAATTATTGTAGGACTGTGTGATATGAAGGACTACGCAATCTCCGATCAAAAAACAGATTTATAGACTAGATTTCAAATAAACTTAATCTGTGTATTGTTTAAAAGCAACACTATAAATTTAAAATCTCCAGCCCAGATGAACATAGCTAGATCGCTTCCAATGTAAATCCTGATCAAGAGCATAGCTAAAAACAAATAATTAAGTTCCACGCTCTCATTACTCACATGCAATGCCAATTTCTGGAGTACAGTATCCTCATCGTTGAGCATGCATGACCATATGCGGCAATAGACATCTATGAGTATGGTGCAATTGTTATAGCTTTGCAGGAGCGAGTCGATCGTGTCCAGCGCTGTTTTGCGCACCGATGAAAGGGCATCAGTGGCTAGCACCGACATTTCGCGCTCGAAATGTGTATTGTAGATAATACGCTGATTGATTTGCACCAGACGCTCCAGCAGGGCTAGGCCCGAGCAGCGGGCCAGTCCATTGTTGGCGGCAATAAAACGTTCATAGATCACTTTTGGCATTTTCTTAACCTCCGGTTCCAGTTCCTCGGAGCCCTCGAAGCTGTAGGCGTACTGCAGGTCACCCGGCTTTTCCAGAGCCAGCTCCATTTGTCGTGCATTTGGTTTTTGAGACGTCTTTACATCATCGTATTGCACAAAGCTGATGACCTCGTGGAGGATGCGGGTGGTGATTGGCGATCCCTGCTTAATGGACAGACTTAGCACCTGGCTGGCCTTGCGGCGCACGCTAGAGGTCTTATCATCAAGGCAACGGATTGTCTCCGTTATAAGCGCAACTTCTCGTGGCTCGGTAGACACATCGTAACGAAAGATTTGCCACTCCACTTGCGTCTGATGCTGCAAAATACGTTCGACCAGCTCGAGCGTACGTATCTGCAGGCCCACAGCATCTTCTGCTCTGATGGTTTCCAGTAACATCTCCGTGCAGGATTTGTTACATTTGGCATAGAGAGCTGCATCATATTTGGCCGCATAGCCAATGGCAATTTTCTCATCTCCGATTTTCCACTAGAAGAAAATAAGAAAATAATTGACTTTTGTTTTTGATTTTATGCTGCATATTCATTTGACTCACCTCCCTAATGGGATTTGTAATCACGCACTCAATGTATAACGCTAACACGCCCGATATTATAACTGGATACTTGTCCAAAAGCTTGATAAACCAATCTGAAATATGCTCGCCATTTTTTGGGCCCGAACCTTTTGAATTTTCCGGATATATATGCATGGAAAATGTTTGACTCATTATATGCATTAAGGTCTCATGAACATCCCCATTTTGTTCGTTGGTAATCTCATCAAGCAACTCGAAGCATTTTAAATGCAATTGGTGTGCACCTGTAAATATAGAAATAAAGGATTTAAATTTTTAACTGATTAAATTTGGTTAAGAACAATCGATAACACATCACGTTATCGCACATTATAACCAGTGCATGCATTCAGCTAGAGATGTGCATGTAGACTTTTTCTGTGGTGATTTTAGCTTCTCAGCTGCGTTTCATTTTCAGTCACCTTTTCAGATTTGTTAAAAATATTTAATGAAAATTATGTAGAGCAAAATTCAAACTTGACTTTTCTCAGTAAATGTTCAATTATTGGGACATCGTATTTAACTGCATTGGCCATCGTTTTCAGTAAATGTTAACCAAAAATAAGGTTTTGGCATACACATACAAAATATATGACATTGTTGCTTTTTAAACCAGGAGCTTCAGAATTGCATTTGTGCAATTAGCTAATATAGCCTCTTACAATCATTATTTTATATCCTATAATGGTTATAGTTAAGTAATTATCGTAGCAGATAATACTTACAAAATATTAATATTAAAAAACAGCAAACCAAGCATATATTCGTGCGGTTAAAAAGAAAGTCCGCGCTATTTCCTGCAGAACTAGCTTTTTCTGCTACTGCAGCACTGCCAGATAAAATATATCGATTGTCATAAAACGAAGTCGATATGCCAGTCACAGTGATTCGATCACATATGCACCGAACATTGTCCATCTCTAGCAGTGCCCTTACGAACGACAATAACGAATTCGACTTGTGAAATATAAATATCACTTTGCAGCACAATGTTGGTTTTGTTGCACAAAAATGCCGGCGCTGCAGCGGCCAACCAGGTGCGCAGCATAGCCAAACGATTTCTGACGACAACAGCAACAGACTCAAAAACAACAACAACGACAAAAACTGCGCCGGCAACGGAGCACTATGATATCATAATTGGCGGAGGTGGCTTAGTGGGCACAACATTGGCGGCTGCACTGGCCAAAAATACGACACTGGCGGACAAGAAGGTGTTGCTGCTGGAGGGTGCGCCACCATTCAAGGGCTTCAATTCAAGCGGACCCTATCAAAATCGCGTTTCGGCCATCAATCGAAACTCCGTGGAGCTCTTCAAATCGATTGATGCTTGGGCACACATTGAGGCGGCACGCTACAAGCCTGTCAAGCAGATGCAGGTGTGGGAATCGAACAGTAATGCGCTTATACAATTCCAGCATGATAACTTTGCCAGCGATGTGGCCTGCATCATTGAGAATGATCTAATACTGGATGCGGTCTATGCACGCGTCCGTGATTCGGCGGATAATGTGAAGGTGCTGAATAAGGCTCGCATTGAATGTGTGAGCCTGCCCGGTGAGACCGGAGCGCCGCATTCACATGTCCAGCTGCAGGATGGACGCAGCTTTACATGCGAACTGCTCATTGGAGCCGATGGCGCAAATTCTGTGGTCCGCAAACAAATGGGCGTGGATGTTTTCTCATTTAACTATGAGCGGATGGGCGTGGTGGCCACATTGGACCTGAACATGGAGGAGGACTCAGATAATTCGGTGGCCTGGCAACGTTTTTTGCCCACAGGGCCCGTTGCCCTGTTGCCGCTGAGCTCCAAACAAAGCTCGTTGGTTTGGAGCACCACAGTGCCGCATGCCAAACAATTGCTGGCCATGGAATCAGCCCAATTTGTGGATGCCCTAAATGAGGCATTTTGCAGAGAATATCCACGCATTGATGTGGCGGATAAGGCGCTGCAAGCACTCAATTCCTTCTTTGGCAACAGTGGATCACAGCATCAGCGTCAGTATCCGCCGCGTGTGTGCGGCGTGCAGGATGGCTCCCGGGCCACCTTCCCGCTGGGCTTTCTGCATGCTTCGTCGTACGTGTGCAATGGCGCTGCTCTTGTGGGCGATGCCGCACATCGCGTGCATCCTTTGGCTGGCCAAGGTGTCAATTTGGGCTTCAGTGATGTGCGCATTCTGGTGGAGACTTTGGCCACCGGCGCCTATGCTGGATTCAAGCTGGGCGACACCCAGCATCTGATCAAATATGAACGCAAATGCCTGGCCAAGAATGTGCCCATTATGGTGGGCGTGCACGGCCTGCATACGCTCTACTCCACAGAATTTAGTCCGGTGGTGCTACTGCGCAGTCTCGGCCTGCAGCTGACCCAAAATTTGCCGCCCATCAAGAACATTTTCATGAAGAGCGCCATGGGTTAAACGGACGGGTGCGGGGCATGTTTTATCTTTAAGTGTTTACAGTTTTATGACCGCTGACCAATAAACTAAAGGCTTTCTAAAAGGCTTTGCTATTGAATGGGTAATATAATATTTAATAAAATGTTTAAAAAATAAAAAGAAACTTGGACTCGTTTAGCTATATTAATGCAGAGGATATTATAAGTTTGTCAGGAAGTGTATGGTGCAGGGAAGCATCTCCATTCCCATAAAGTATATATATATATTCTTGATCAGCTTCTATGGCCAATGGCATATAACCTGTCTAACATGGTCAATATCGCAGCTATGCATACCCTCCGCGAGGGTATGTAATTCTCGGCTACTCGAAATTTTGTTTTTCGATACGTATACGTTCTTCCCAATCTTGCAAAATGCTTGTTAAAATGTTTGCACAAACCAGTTTATTATGAATTGTATGTCTATAAAATGATGATATATTTTTTAGTTCGTCGAGTGTTCCATTAGGTTTAGTAATTGGTGGTAGCTGAGATATAGATTACGTACAATATTTTTTACCGCAGGTCTAAAACCACTTGACGCAAAAAATGTCTTATTTCGCAGGTGCTGATAATAAGATAATATTTGTTATATAATAAATCAGCTATTCGTAAACCAAACATATATAAGAATTGTTCAACCAATCCACACGAAACATCATTTCGCATTATTTGTAAAATTTTTGCAGCTGATTTTTTTTCTAAATGGAACATTTTGCGTCAAGTGAATGTAGGCTTTAACGTTACAAGGCACAGTTGGTACAGACTATGTTTAAAACTAAGTTAGATTAATTCTAGGCATTTGGCATTGTTGAAATTCTATTTTAAAAATGCTTTTAGAGCTCCTGGTGGCTTTTGCTCACGCTCACCTGTGGCAAATTGTTGCCATGGCTGCTCTCACCAAGCTTTAGATCCTGTTCGAGCAGATTGTTAATGTCCTCTTTGGGAAAGACTTGCTGGCGATTGCTTTTTAGCTGCGCCTCGCCGGATGTCGATGTCTGTTTGACTATTTCGACGACTTGCTGAGAGTCCTCCGTATCGGATATATAGCCCGCCTCGCCCGTATAGTGCACGGGATAGAGTAACATGGGCGCGGCACTAAATGCAATCAGATTGCGCGGCTCGAAGGCTTCGCTCAGATTTTGCTGCGGATGCCGGCCAAACATGACGGGCAAGAACTCATCGACCGGTATGAGTTTCTCTAGGGGCTTAACTGCCAGCAGCTTTTCAGCTCCGCGCAGCGTTATGACATAGCCCAGCGTCCAGTAGGAGTAGCCGACATGAACGAGACTATCGCTGCCCTCGACCCAAGGCTCGCTTTCATCCTTCAAACGCTTGCGGCCAAAGTAGATGAGGTCATAGTCAAATTTGCTGGCCTGTTGCAGCACGCGTTGTGCACTCCCCGTAAAATACGGCTCAAAGCGTATGTCATCCTCCAGGATGAGCACCTGGCGCAGCTGCCGCTGCACAATCTGCTGCCAAATGCGATAGTGACTGAGAAAGCAACCAATTTCGCCCATGGTCATGGGACGATGGTGATATGGATCCTCATAGCCGGGCAGAAAACTAATACCCATTTCCTGCACGAGCTGTGCATTTAGTTGTTTGCCATCGACGGCTGCAAAGTGTTCCACTTGCAGGCCCAGTTCAACGAACAGTTGCTCCATTTTCCGACGCCTTTCCGGCCGTCGTTCCAGATTGATCATGAATATGTTATCCAAATTGAGTTTGGTTTGCTCTGGCAGCTGTACATGGTGTTGCAGATACGGCTGCACGGGCGGCACAGCGCCCAAATCGTATACCATGTTGACCCTTAAATTGTTCAGCTGCTGCAAATCCTGCTGCAGTGTGTCCGACGTTTCCAGGGGCTGCATCATATAGCCAAAGGGCAATTTATTGCATATGTGCAGCGGCACGCCCGAATGGTTGGCGGACATGGCAAACACAATGATGTCGTCCACAGGTCCATTGTATAACGCCACTTGCTGTGTGGATCTTTGCTGCATCTGCACCAGCCGCTGCCGGTCAAAGGTCAGATAGCGTGCGCCCGCATAGTTCATGTGCACCAGCACAGCTGTGTGCACCATGGGCACAGCAAAGACGCCGACCTTATCACCATGATAGATCTCTTTATACTCGTCGGTGCGCTGATAGTAATACTCTTCGGTCATGCCGCACCAGAAATTCGAGTAGAGACTCTCCGACTGCAACATGGGCGCCACAATGGGCAGCTCCAAGGCCGTGAGCACCTTTAGGGTCTGCGGCGCTGTCAGCAACACATCGGCATCCAAGAAGAATATGAAATCAGCCCAAATATCGCGCGCATATTGCAGCGCCTCCTCTTTCAGGGCAATCACGTGCTTGAAACGCGACACCGGCCAGTCGTAAGCAGAGCTTTCGTTCTGATAACGCGTCGTTTCGTCATTGAAGGCATAGTTGATGCTGTGATACAGATCGCCGGAATGTTCTAGCCATTCTTGCAGCAATTGTATGCTATTATCGCTGCTGTGATCACAGCGTAGCCTGTATACATAGACATAATGTACTCCAAATCCTAACCGCACTTCTTGCTGTACACTTACCAAAAAGCTATGCGCTGTTTGGGATAATCCAGCTGCTCCACATAGCTAAGGAACATGGGCAATATGTGCGCCTTGTTGCGCACGAGCAGCGTTATGAGCACCGTTGGCTGCTCGTACTCCAAATCCAATGTCCAACCGGCGCCCAGGGCGCATATTAGGAGCACTCCGAATTCTAGACGCATCTCCACGTCATGCCAAATACATTCAATTTAGTTCAAATAGGTCAAACGAACGGATGCGGCGGCTGCGGCTGCTGGACAACTGTGGAGCGTCTCTCAGTCTTTAATCTATTTATAAACTCGCTCTTTCAGCGTTCATTGAACGCCCGTCATATGTTTTAATCAGTTACTGAAAAACGATAACATATCGTTTTGAAAGTTTAACAGCTGTTTCAGTTGCAGTTATCGTCTTCAAGTGTTCAACACCACTTCAATTGCTGTCGCTCTCAAACTGTGACAGGTACTGGACTATCGATAGACAATCGATTTGAATTTTCACATTTCACTTATCGATGCAGGATGTATTTTACATTACATCGCGAAATACGAAACGGAGACCTCTGCTTCAATATCGAATATATATATGTATATATATACATATATGATGATAATATACATATGTACTAAAGCAACCGTAGTTGATTCTATGTCAGTAAGTTTAAGAGACCATAAGGTCACTTAACTACTTAAAATATTCCCACTTATATGTGGCAACAAGTTCTTGCAAATTTTCGATTTAATAATATTGCTCTTTAAAAAGTAAACAACAATTTATTTCATCACATCTTTACAGAAGCAGCGAATTCTATGCCTTAGCTGTATGGGGCTTAGCATAGCTGGGAAAGTTTAATTGCAAACCCTCCTTAGCCTCGAAGAACGTGTAGGATAGTGTAATGGTGTCACAATACTCGAGCGCCGGATCTTGTGTGATTTCAGGATCAATGTAGAAGAAGACGGGCATATCCACTTCCTCGTGAGGATTAAGCATTTGCTCCTCAAAGCAAAAGCATTGGATTTTATTGAAATATGCGCCCGCCTCAAATGGAATCACATTGTAGGTGCTAATCCCAACGACCGGCTTGTCCGTGGGATTTTTGGCCGTGTAGAAAGCGAGCGCTGTCTCACCCGGCGCCACTTTAATTTCATATTGTTGGGGCTTAAAGTTCCAACGCATGGAGGAGCCAATGTCCGCATTGAAGCGTATCTTCAGCACACGATCCTTCACTTTGACCATGTGCTCCACCTTCTCGGCATCGTGACCCTGTGAAGTGGTGCCGCCATAGCTGTACGCCTGGCAAAAGATGCTGTATAGTGGCACAGCCGCATAGCTGAGACCCACTATGAGCACACCGCCAGCGGTTATGTAGTATAGTGTCGACTTTGCGCGTAATTTACGCGCTGCATCTGAATCGCCGCGATTGCCGCCTAGTGTTGACTGTGCGCGACATTTTCGCAGCGGCAGTTGTGAATTGTTTGCGGCGCGGCATTGTGTGTGCCTCAGCAGTTGCTGGCAATGCACGCGCACAGAGCCAAATGTGCGTAGCATTTATAGCAATTTTTTAGAATTTGAAATTACAATTAAATACGCGTTTTCATTCAAGAATCAACCGTTTGTATAATCTTTGCCTCACAAAAACAGCTGTTAGCCACCTGCCAGTGTGTGCACACAATCGCCGGCTGAGTTGAATCAGTGTGCACGCATGACGCAAAAAAAACAAGTGATGAGCGATTTATCAGTCACTATGAATCCCCATATATTCACAATATTCACACTTTTTCTGCACGTTTATCGTATTGTAAGGAGTGTTAACTAAACACAACTCCAAATATAACTAAACACATTTTACACCGAACTAAAATATTGTGCCGTTACACAATTTAAAAGGGGCTTATAAAAAAGACGCGCTTAATATATTAAATATACAGTTATAACAATAATACTCACATGAATTGTTGTAGCCGTGTCTAAAATTCATGTAGAGTATTTCAAAGAGGCAGCGCATTATATTGTCGCGTGGCTTCAGGTGATCCTTAAAGTGCACATAGCGAAATACCAGTTTCAGATCATCGCAAATAGTTAGAAACAATATCCATATATTGTTGGCCCGCGCACTGGAGTTGGCATGTTGTTCAAGCAGTCGGAATACCCGCAGACAGTGCTCTATGACACCTTCGTCGAAAACGCCATAACTTTTGGCGCCAGGTATGGTCAGTGTTAGAAAATACGTGCTAGCTGCATTGAGCGCCAGCTGAACGTTTATATGTTCATTTAAAGCCGTGGGAGCATATTCCAGTATGTCTTGGGGCAATGTCGCCAGACTGGTGAGTGCATAAATGTATGCCAAATAATCCTTTGGCGCAATATCCTCGATGTTTGCCCAATTATCATGGGTAACGTCAAAGTTGTTTTCGGTCTCTGCGTCGGTGGAACGCAACAATCTGATGCACTGGGATAGATCCCGTAGCGTTTGCAATTGAGTATCCTGCACATCCAGATTCTGCCGGCACATGGGCAGTGCCCAGAATTTACTGGCCCGACGCCGTATCACCTCATCACTGTCATCATCGCATAGCCAGCCTTCCACATTGGTCCAATCAACGTCTTGTGCACACTGCGACTTAAGTTCACAGAATATGCGATTCAATTCTGACATTTTTGCATAATTTTTTAATTTTCTTTAATATTCGCGTCGCTTCAATTCTACACAGCACTTACAAACTTGTTTACAATTGCAAAACTGACTGAGCATATTTATCGAGCCCTATGCGATATACCGCGGCTATCGGTACCTATCGATATTAACAGCATCAGACAGCTGTTTATAACTGAAGCTGGGTATGCAGGTCGTGCTACAAAATAGTCTAACAGGTCATTAGAAGTATATAATGAGACTACGTATTGAATTTGTAAAAACATTATTTTAATTACGTCCAAATTGTTAGCCAAGTAAAGTAGGCAAGCGCTTTGAATTGTTAGCTTGCTTATTTTCACACCTACTGTGAACAGCATACCTGGCCTTATCATCTGGATAAATATCACAGAAAACTGCACCCAATTCTGAGTTGGAAACTCGCGTAAACATGGACGCTCTCAAGGAAGCGTCACTTGACAATGACGAAGTGCGCGAAATCTTAAAGAACACCACAGATCTACGTCAATATTCGCGGCAAATAGAGAAAGAATTTAAGGATGTGGAGAACAGGTCAATTGAGGACTATATTGCCGAATCGCAGAACATTGCCAGTCTGCACAATCAAATCAACGACTGTGACGATGTACTGGAACGCATGGAGAACATGTTAATGAGCTTTCAGAGCGTCCTCAACAATATCAGCACCGAAATAACGCAGCTACAGCGAAAATCGGTGTCCATGTCGCTGCAACTGACCAACAGGCAATCGGTGAAGGCCCAGCTGTCGCAGTTCATCGAGGATATGGCCGTTTCAGAGGAGATGATCAACATCATCATGGACACGGCGGTGACAGAGCGCGAATTTAGCACCCAACTGAACGTGCTAAACCACAAGCTGTCGCTGGTTAAGGAGCTAAGTTTCAAGGAATCCAAATCGACGAGCGATGTCAGCGATGTGTTGCACAAGCTGCGCCTCAAAGCCATGTCCAAGATACGCAGCTACCTGCTCGAACAGATCTACAAATTCCGCAAGCCCATGACCAACTACCAGATACCACAGAACGCCATGCTGAAGCACAAGTTCTTCTTCGAATTCATACTGTCCAACGAGCGGCATGTGGCCCAGGAGATATGCAGCGAATACATCGATACCATGAGCAAAATATACTATAGTTATTTTAAAGTAAGCTTCCAGATTGTAAATAGTTCAGCATAATAATTCTGTTTTGTTGTTTGCAGAGCTACTCGACCCGCCTGACAAGCCTCAAGTTTGAGGAATCCTGCAGCAAGGACGATCTAATGGGCATAGAGGACAATGCATCCAAAGGTTTGTTTGCCAAGACCACCAGCCTTAAGCATAAGAGCACAATCTTTACCATTGGCAAACGTGGGGATATACTTAATCAACAGCTGGAAGCGCCCATTATAGTGCCCCATGCGCAGCTCAAGAATCGCGTAAGCTCTGCGTATACCCTAAAGATTTTTGTCTAAATTTGCATTTCTTTGTGCAGTACACGGTGGAGGCACTTTTCCGCTCCGAGCAATATGCTTTGGTTGACAACGCCTGTCGGGAGTATTTGTTTGTCACTGAATTCTTTATGGTGCGTGGCACCCAAGCGCAGGATTTGTTTAACCAAATCATGGGCAAAACATTGACGTTAATGATTGTATGTGTACATGAATCTAAAGCATATTCGAGTATATTATTTAATAACTTTTGTTTCGCTAGAAAAATCTGGAAACATCTATACACGATTGCTATGATACGATAGCCATGTTCCTTTGCATACACCTCATCTTTCGCTATCAACTCATGTGCCACAAGCGCTGCGTGCCTGCGCTGGATAAGTAAGTACAACAACAACGAATAAGAGCTTATTGGAAAGGAAAATAGATCGACACTATGCCTAATCCTACAGTTTTTTTTTTTAAATGAATGGCTAGTTCAGTTTACGATTCGCACTGCCTTTCTGTTCGATTCGTTAAAGAAAGCAGATTTTATATATCCCTTTATTTCCTTTACAGATACTGGGACTCTTTGCAGTCGGCTATTTGGCCGCGTTTGGAGCATGTATTTCGTCTAAACATTCAGAGCATACACGATTGTGATCCGACCAAGTTCAGCAAGGAAATGGGTCCGCATTATGTAAGTGGAGCAGCCCATAAATAAAGTGTATCAGTTTTTAATAGCTCTACCCTAAAGATAACGCGTCGCTATGCTGAATTTAGTGCCGCCATTGTTGGCATCTCGGAGCAGTTTCCCAATGAGCTGGTCAGCCGCCTGCTGTTGGAGCTGCAAAACGAAGTGGAATGCTTTATATTGCGCATGGCGGCCATTTTCGCTACACGCAAGGATCAGCTCATTTATCTGATCAACAACTATGATCTTGTGCTGGGCGTGCTCATGGAGCACACACGCGACAACTCCAAAGAGGCTGAGGCATTCCGTGAGCAGCTGAATGCGCGCAGCGCTGAGTATGTGGATGAGATCTTGGCGCCGCACTTCGGGGGCATTATACAATTTGTCAAGGAGTGCGAGCAGTACTTTGAAAAGGATCAATCGGATGAGCTGCGCAAACAGGAGCGACGCAGTCTGGCGCTAGTGGCCAGCTTCTCTGCTAACTGGAAGAAATCTCTGGAGGAACTTAATCGCGAGGTGCTTTTATCGTTCCCATCGCTGTTGACCGGATCACAGCTGCTGCAACTGGCTTTGGCCAGTCTGGTGCAATATTATCATCGTTTCCACAAGCTATTGACGCCGAATGCGCGCGCCCAGCTGACCAATATACATGTGGTCATGGTCGAGATCAAGAAGTACAAGAGCAACTACTGAAGTGGACATTTCAAAGAACTTTAATGAACATTCCGAAATAAAAATATGAAACTAATATAAATGTTGAGGAGGCTGCCGACAATTGAGAGTATGCATATTATTCCTCATCCTCGAACATCATCTCGACCAGATCCTTGTTGGAGCAGCGCTCGCCATCCAAACGCTGTGGCGACTTCCAGCGCAGCAGCGTGGGCAGGAAAATCAGATGCGTGTTTGGGTCTTTGCGGAACGGACAGTTCAGGTCTTTCCAGCTTAAATTCAAAAACATAATCTTAATCAGTAATTCGCTCGCATTCTTTGAAGTTTACCCATATAAAGATAAACAGAACAATCAAAAGCCACTTAACCGATCGGCTTTGCTAATTTTTTTTATCATGAATACTGGGCGTGACTACAGTATATACACTCATGCTTCTATATGTATACTGAAAAGGTGCTGTATAATGTTGTTGAGGGCTATCGTCATACACGCTCTCATAGCATTACAACACCAACTATACAAATGTACATATATATAATTAGTTTTCTATAACAATAGCGTTTATTTTACCCTTGTGGGGCGTATTAGAATTTCGTCACGAAATATGTGAAACAACGGGGGTGTGTATGTGCCCCTGAACTAAGCGCACAGCTAACTTGGACTTGACATATGTAACTACCTTAAGAACTGGGACTTGCATGAAAAACTTGTTTGTTCTTTAAGCTACCTTCAAAAAACTGAACAATCGCAAACATCACACTGTTCCTGCGAGGGTATGTAGTCTTTGGCACGCCCAAGTTATTACATGTTTTTTATATACTTAATTTTATTACAACTTACTAGGAACGCTCGCCGACATCGACATGCACAAAGTGGGAGTTCTCAGCGGCCTTCTTCAAAGCATCGTGTATCACCGGCTCCGCTGTGGGCGACAGAACGGAAAACGTATAAAAATATGCACTTGGGAGTTGGGTAATTGTCATTGAGGGCATTTGGTGGTTAACCACTAGAGACGGCTGTATTACCCTTGACACAGTATGGACACCAGCTCTCGCCATTTTCATCCTTGCCGCCGCTGAACAAAACATGTACCGGATTGTTGCCGTCACCGGTTTCCAGTTCCTCCATTTTCTTGGAGAACTCATCGTAGCCCTTGACGTTGTGTGTTACGACCATAATTTTGCTTGTTTGTAATTTACTAACACCGCCTGCGAATGTCCGCTTGACGATATGACCGACTAGACTTGGTAGCGACGTGATTGCGCACTTTTTATTAACTGGTGTAGAAAGGTTACGCACTTGTTTTTATATCGTTTTAATTTTGTTGTTTTCACAAATGTAAGCCGTCTACGATTGCTTATCGATAGCAGGTTTCAAGTGATTGCCAAAGTTATCGATGGACGCAAGTAAATTGAAAGGTTCGTGACGTCACTACTGGCCAATAGTATCGCTTTTAAGGAAGAGAGTAATTTGTCCTTATTTTATGCAAAATAATGTCTAGTTAATAATATGCTATGCAATATTTATGCTGGGTAGCGAAAATTCCAGAAGTTTAAATGCCACCTCTAAGCGTATATCGATAGCTGTCACGACTTTCAGATTTCATTATATAAAATATCGTTAAATAACTCATCACCAGTGTCATCAAAACAGATGTTTAACTTATATATTTTTATTTGCACAGACTAATTTCCGACATTATTTGATTATTGTTTTATTTATAAACATGGCACAGTCAATACTACTGCGTAGTTTTGTGCTGCACAGGCAAAGGCTGTTGTTGTCCACAGCCGCGCGTCTCAGATGTCTCGCACCGTTGCATTTGAGCAATCGGTTAGCACAGGAAGCGCGAAGCGGTCTGTAATTCCATAAAAAAAAATGACATTAGCTAATAAGTCGTCTTTAGGTGGCTCTAGTGGTGGCGGCGCACTGCAGGAATCAAGTGGCGGCGGCAGCAATGTCTCCACAGACGTGCGTCCCATTGGCGAGAAAATCAAGGAGAACACAAAGACAGCCAGCTATACGGCCATCATTTTGGCCGGACTGGGTGTGACAGGCATCATGTTTTATGCCATTTTCCGTGAGCTATTCTCCAAGGAGAGCTCGTGCAATATTTATTCGAAGGCCCTCGAACGCGTGGTCGAGGATCCGCGTGTACAGGACGCCATAGGTGCGCCCATTAAGGGCTTTGGCGAGACGTCGCGTCGTGGTCGTCGCCAGCATGTGGCCCACAGCAGCTTCGAGCGCAACGGTGTGCCCCACATGCGCATGCAGTTCTACGTGCAGGGACTGCGCAATAAGGCCACCGTACAGCTGGAATCGAGAAGGGTGCGTCATGTGCTTTTTTCTATATCTGTATATGTTTGTGTAATTGTTTACTTTCCTTTTGTGCCCAGAACTCGGCAGGCAAACTTGAATTTCGTTACTTGTTTGTGCAATTGGATCACTATCCACGCACCACCATCGTTTTGGAAGATAATCGCGTCTACGATCCCACGCCAGAGCGTTCCTCGTCGGCATTCGGCAATTTGGCGCTCATGTCGAATAGTCGCGACAAATAGAAAATCCCCCCAAAGACATCATCCGCGCACCGCTTAAATTCTTTGTATAATTGTTGTTTAATTTACACATTGACTGAAATTGAAAAATGTGCTGTCTCATTCGCCTATCGAGAAGTCGTCCATTTCGAGTATGGCGCCCGATTCGTGTCAGTAGAGCTTCTTCCATGGTATTATCTCCCAGGAGCGTATGATGTGTCGGCCGAACAGAAAATCCTTCAACTTGTTCATCAGATAAAACGAAATGCCAAAGAATGAGGCGAAATACAACCAGAACTGACCCAGACGCTCCCAAATGCTCAAATGATAGCGTGCCGGCAATTGCAGCACATCCAACTCCAGTTCGATGCTCAGGCCGGGCTCCAAGCGCGGCGCACTGGGCCTGTAATAGGTTTCCTGCACGGACAGCTGAAAGTAGGCTGGATTTGCCTTGACCTGAGCCAGCAGCGATTCCATCTTATACTGGGACATGTCCGCCTTGCTGTTGTTCGTGTCCAGCTGCACCTGGCGGAAGTGTGTTTGGATGTTGCGACCCGGAAAGGGACAGGTGAACTCCACATATTGTTTCAGCTTCAGCTCGCCCTTCAGCTGGATGCGTCCGTTTTGCAGACGTGCCGCCTGTGGCAGCTGCAGCTGATGCGCCAGCACAGCGGGCGGATTGAGGACGCACTTGTGCCGCAGCTGCGCCTCGAAGAACAGCAACAAATCAAAGTTCATCAGGCGTGCGGGCAGCTGCTGCAGTTCCAACTGAAAGTGTAGCCGATCCGTGACCGTATCGTAATCCAAATCCTGTGTCCAATATTTGGTCGCCTCGCAGCGGCTCGAATAGTTCTGCAGGCGCGCATTCAAGTTGCCAAAACTGCTGCAGGCCAAAAAGGACTCTTCCAGCGTTGCATTTTCCAGCTTTGACTCCATGTTGGCCACGAATATATATTGGTATTTGAACTGTACGACGGGCTGTTCATATAACACACGGGACTCGGATATGCCGGAGTAGGGGCTCAAGAGTGAAACCAATAACACGGGCAGCATTACGGACAACGCTATGAAAACGAGCACCAGCAACGATGCCAGCGAGCAAAGCGAGTTCTTGTAGACAATCGACGTATTTGTCGTGTGCAGAGGTATGAATTTCATATTTCCTTTTTAATTTTCTCAATTGACTTACGGCTTGTCGTAAGGAAGTTTGCACTTGTCAAGTTCTGTTTTGATTAATTCAAATGGTTGCCGGGCAACCTGGTAGCCCAGTGGCGACATCTGTTGCTTAGTTGTGTTCACTATTTCAAACCAGTCAGCTTTTGTCAGCCCCATGAAGCTTTCGTTAAGTGAGCACTCGTTTCGTTAAGTGTGGAGCGAGTGGCGACATCTGTTGCTTAGTTGTGTTCACTAATATATAGCTGTCAGCTTGTGTCAGGGCTAGGTAACTTTCGTTAAGTGAGCATTAGTTTCGTCAAGTGTGGAGCGAGTAGCGACATCTGTTGCTAAATGGTGCTTATGATAACAGAGCTGTCAGCTTTTGTCAGGGCTACGATACTTTCGTTAAGTGAGCATTAGTTCGTTAAGTGTGGAGTGAGTGGCGACACCTGTGGCTCAGTTGTGTTCACTATTTCAGAGCTGCCAGCTTGTGTCAGTAGTGATCATAATATCAGCGCTATCAGCTTGCGTCAGTGGAGCAGTTTTCGTTAAGTGTGCATTAATTTCGTTAAGTGAGGAGCTTCAGAATCATTTAAAAATATACGTTATTTCCTGCCGCGCACTTTTCAAATTGTTTAAACAAATTTTGTAATAAAGCCATGCCAAAATGTTGCCCGCTTTATGCGTGGCTGCAATCTGACGGCCTGGCTGCCACTTGCCGCCAACTGCATGCATGCTGGCAATTTGATCGCTGCGCTTTCAACACTCTTTAAAGTAAGCGCATTAAATTTAAAGCTGCAACTTCCGATTTTTATGCGTTTCGCATTAAAACGGTTAAAAAAAAAAAATCTGTACAAAACCAGTTGCCGTTCTTAATTATGCGCAAATGTTGGTCAAGTTATGCGTTCGAAATTTTTGATTATTTTTTTTCGCATTTTGCCGAGTTCACTTTTCACTTTTTGATGTGGGCCGGGGCTGCAACTGGGGCGTCTCGTTTGGGTATCCTATAATTATGTGCAATCAATACTCTTTTTGTCTGTATCGGCTTATGCTTAAGTTGTATACGGCCGGAACGGATGTGCCTCTGCGAGGATCAATTGGCAACGACCCGGGTCAGCTAAATTATTGGCCAGCATTGCGTTCGCCAGTTTGCTAATAAAGCGATTGCCGGCGTTTTATTTAATGCGATTCTTGAGGCGGATGCGTGTACTCTGCGCGCTTTCAGCTGCTATTGATTTCAAACTGGGACTGAAATCTTTTACCATATGCTGTCAACTCTGTAGGGCAAGTGCTGGAGTGCATAAACAGATTATCGCTATATATATAACTGTTTGTCTTGACTGATTGACTGACTGACTGATTGGTGATCAACGCACAGCCCAAACCGTAAGAGCTAGGAATCTGAAGTTTTCACTGCAGTTACCTTATGTGGTTAGGGTCCAAATCCATTTCTATATATAAATCATTTGAGATCTGTTTCACACTTTTCGTAGATTCCAAGTTTTCTCGGAAATGAAATGCGGTTCAAAGATTTGTTGGGAGAAGTTTTAAGTTTTCATATGTTCATATGTTTGTACATACATGCATGTATGCATGTTTGTTTTGTACATATGCAAGCATGCATGCATGCGTACATGTATGACTACATGTCCGGATACTTACATACACATACACAAACACATATACATACATGCATACATACATACATACATACATACATACATACATGCATACATGCATACATGCATACATACATACATACATACATACATACATACATACATGCATACATACATGCATACATACATACATACATACATACATATATACATATATACATACATACATACATACATACATACATGCATACATGCATACATACATACATACATACATACATACATACATACATACATACATACACACACACATACAAACAGACATACATACATACATACATACATACATACATACATACATACATACATACATATATACGTACGCATATACATACATACGTCTATACACATATATGCACATATGTAAATACATTAAACAAAATAATCGACAAGAAAAAATACAGAAAAAACACTACACTACTAGCTAAGCATGAACAACTACAGACCCGACTTGAATTCTTGAGAATCGAGGAGGAGAGCACTTGGTAGAAATTATTTTTATTTAAATTTGCAGCAAAGCGACAAATAAGCTTAGTTTGCGTTTGTTGTTAGAAAACAAATATGCATGGATACATTTATTTATAAATGCTTGCATACACTAACACACACGCGCACACACACACGCGCACACACACGCACACACAAACACAATCAAATATAATTAAATAAATAGAAAAGTCTATATTTTATTTATTTGATCTAGTGCTTGCAGGGTTGTGTAAAATTTCTTGACATAATCCCAATTATCTTCCGTCAAAGTTTGTTCTTTATACAAACTAATTGTTTCTTGAACTAGTTCTTGCAATGAACTTTCCTTTTGAACTTTCTTAAATGAACATGTTAAAACGAATGACAGAGCCATTTCTATTGAACTAGTTGAGGGAACTATCAAACGACTAGATTACTTAACCTTCTGTGACAAGGCTCAGGTTGTTATTATGATATGTTCTACTAGTTTTTTTTCCTCCAATATGTCGCTTTTGCCATTCAATTGTCAAGTTCTTGTGTAACTTTTCTTGATTTCTTTACTGCTTACATTGATAATTTAGTTTTTTGGCCGCGTGTCACTTGAGCACAAATATATATGTACATATTTTTCTGATATGTGACTTTTGGTGCAAATCATGGACTCGTGGCTGATGTCAAAACTGCGAAAAAGCAGTTAAGAAATATGATGAATAAATAAATAAATAAACCAAACAGTTTGACAGTTACATTTGCGAGCTGTGTGTTGTTTGACAGTTGGACAGGGTTGCCAGGTGTGTGTGTGTGTGTGCATGAAATATTATTTGATTGATTCAATGTAATAACCGCAACACACACACACACACACAAGCACACAGATTGAGAGCTTAACTTAGAGCAAAGGAGAAAGTAGGGATAAGTTTGAATACCCTTTCACACTGAGGCTGAGTTTAATAACAATATTTATGAAGACTATATTTCCATATAAGATCCGACTATTTAACCAAACTTTCCAATATGATAAAGTGTTGCCATGTTGCTGAGATTTTACATATATTTGAGTATCACAATGCAATTAATAAATCTCAAGTTTGGTCAAGTTATCTCAATATAGAAAAAGCTTTCCATATCGGAATCAACTTGTCGAGCGATTGTTTCTATGGCAGCTATATGATATAGTAATCCGATGTTGATAAGATGTAGGGAGCATAGTGAAACTTATAATTGACAAGCTTGATACCCTTCCAAGCGTTACACATTGCACGACTAAATTAGAATACCCTATAAAAGGGCATTTCAAAGAAGAAGTGGGAGTAAAAGAAAAGTGGGCGTTGTGCAAGGAAAATCAATAATTTTACACAAATGCTTTTCGCACGAGTTTTTATCTGTGGCGCGCTTTAAAAAAAAAAAAATCCAGAAGAAATATAGGATAGACAAGATGGCCAAAACACACACACGCACACACGCACACACACAGACAGGCAGGCAGGCAGGCAGGTCGTCACACCTTGACGCACATTTGGAATGCAAGGCACGCGGCCAGGACAACGCCAGCTCTGTGCCCATATATCCTTTTTCAACAAAAATTTCAGCTTTCACTTGAAGCGCGTACGTGACGCCGTTTGCCGCAAAGGAGCTGTTGAAGTGGCAAATTTGGCGCGCCAAAGCCAGCAGCTGGGAACAGGTGTTGCCCGCCCCCTCCCCCCTCCCCCTCTCCCACTCTCTCCACCTTTCTGTGTGTGTGGCAAAAAGTAGCAGTTTATTAGGCGCACCAAATTAACATAGGACTACTAATGTCCTTGCCGCCCGAAACGCATTCATTAGAGTGCGGCGGTGTTTTGCTACTTTTCTTTTTCTTTCTAAAATTAGAACGCCTGCGCGAATTTATTTGATTTTTTTTTTGTTGTCTCTCCCCCTTTGACTGGATGCTGGAAAATGAGGGGAAATATTGTGCGTCCATTGTGGCGGCTGTGTTTTTTTCCACATTTACTTAGCAGCTGGCTTCCCCGAGGAAATCAAAGAAAAAACGTTGCTTTCATATTTATATAAAGTTCTCAGGCTTGGCTTATATAGCGCATATATATATGTTTATATATATTCCCCTTACAATACTCAAGCGCCAACAAAGTGTTGCACACACTCACAATCATACAAATGAGAGGCGTGGCAGGGGACGGCTGGATATATATATATAGTGTATATATATATATATGTTTGACAATCAGGCCGCAAGCATATGTTACCCGATAATTTGCCGAAAGTTTTAATGAAAGACATGGGACTCATTTCTCTGGCTGTCTCCACTGCGGCCATTGCTCCATCTCTCTCGCACTCACTCATTCTTTGTGTGTGAGTGTGTGTGTGTGTGTGTCTCAGCTTTTGTCGCCATTTTGTGTGTGTGTGTCTGTGTGCGGCGTGTTGAAGCAAATTTTGATGAGCTTCAGCAAAAGTTACGGCTGCTGTCTGTGTGTGCGTGTGTGAACTTGTGTGTGTGTGTGAAGGGTTGCCTTTATATAATTTTCATTTTTCATTTTATAAATGACAATTGCCAGCCCTGCTGCTGTGTGTGTGTGTGTGTGTGCTGCAGGCAACTGTAATCACACCATATCTGTTGAAAGTTTATTATAATATCCTTTGCCAACGTTGAAATTCGCATGCCATATTCTATATAAACGCAAATAGGGGCGCACAGCCATATGATGCCACATTCTTGGTGCTTGGCCAAGATGTGTTGATGCCAAGTTTAATGGCTATTTAGAAGCTAAGCTTCGCAAGTACCGCAAGTTACACGGATTTTCTTCACTAGAAACCAGCTAAAACTGAACCGAAAGTATTTATAAATTCCATTTAATTCATAAT